GGTTTAGGGGTTTAGGGTTTCCAGGGCTCCTGTTAAGGGTGGTTTTGGGGTTTGGGGCCGTAGAAGGTTTAGGCTGTTGGGTTTAGGTTTGACGTCCTAGGGTTTTAAATTTGAGGCTTAGGGCTTTTAGGGTTCAGGGTTCACGGGTTTAGGGCTGGGGTGGAGGGGCTTAGGGTTTCAAGCTTCAGGGTTGTACAAGTGCTTTGATGATTGGTATAAGATGAAAGGGGTAAAAGCCCCATAACGCTCAAAACTCTCCCCTAAGGCCCCTAAACCCTATCCCCCAAAGACCCTAAACCTCAGAGTATCCTCAACCCCCATACTCTACACCCCAAAACCCCAACCCCCCCAGCCGTAGACCTTCATCCTAAACCTCAAACCTCCATAAACCTCAGACTCTCACAACCGTCAAGCAATGCCTAAACCCTAGACCCTAAACCCCTAGACCCTAAACCCTAAACCCCAAACCCTAAACCCTAAAACCCTAAACCCCTAAACCCTAAACCCCAAAGCCTAAACCTAAAACCCCTAGACCCTAAACGCCAGGGCACCCAGAGGCTCTCCGTTGGCCAGCTTCTTCATGAGGAGCATCGCCGTGGCGGATGGCTTGCCGGAGCACTCAAAATGCCTGGTTTAGGGTTTAGGGTTTAGGGATTCAGGGGTGTAGGGTTTTAGGGTTTTGGGCTTTAGGGCTTTAGGGGTTTAGGGTTTTAGGGCTTGGGGTTCCGACAACAACGGCTCCGAAGTGCCCTTGAAGGAACCCGTAAAGGGAACCCCTACCAAAAAAGGAACCCTTGTAGGGGCTACTTACCCAAACCATAGCAGCAAATCCTACTGTAGAAACCCGGCTTTGCACTAAAGACAAGTACTTCGGATGCTTTGGGCTCCTTCGCTTCTGTTGAAGAGTGCTTATGGGGTTTGGGTGTTCTCAGGGGTTAGGGTTCAGAGTGAAGGGCTAGCGGGCTTCTGTTGAGGCATTGTGAATTGAAGGTCGGGCCCACAGGCGACTTGGGGAATCTTGAGTACCACGAAATCAACATCGCCGAATCTTGAAGGGTTTTGGGGTTTAGGGGTTTAGGGTTTTAGGGTTTAGGGGTTTAGGGGTCTAGGGTTTACGGTTTAGGGGTTTGAGGTTTAGGGTTTAGGGTTTACGGTGTAGGGTTTAGGGGTTTAGGGTGTGTAAGAGTGAACTAATGACTCGAATCCCCTAAGCCCTAAAACCCAAACCCGAAAACTTCAAAACCCTACAACCCTGACACCTAAACCTTGAAACCCCCAAGCGCGAGGGATCATATTGCACCAAAAAGTTTATTGTGTAGTATGTCAGCTACTAAGCTGCTTAGCTGCCCAGTACCCTGGCCCAAACAAGCTTAAACTTTTCTTTTAGCAGGGGTTTACTATACCAAAAGAGTTTAAAGTTTGCCTATTGGGCTACTAAGGCTCTGAATCAGACAACCTAAGCCCTCCCTTGACACGCTTCCAAGCAGCCCCTTTCGAGAGGGCTTTGACTTATTCTTCCCGGAAAATCCCCAAACGCCTTCGTTGAAAGTCCGGAGCTCTGGGGCCTCTAGGGTTTGGGCGTTTTTGTTTAGGGTTTAGGGTTTTTCGTTTAGGGTTTAGGGTTTATTTTTTTGTTTAGGGTTGAGGGCTTGGAGTTCAGGCTCAGGGCACCCGACATGAAGGCCTCGACACATTTCTGGGACCTTTGGCCAACCTTCCCCACGCTTCAGCCTGAATCTGAACTCCTCAAGGCTAAGCCGTGTGGTCCCCAAACCCAAAAACTCCAGAACCCTCATCCCTAAACTCCACAACCCTAAACCCCGAAACTGAAATCCCGAACGATCTGAGCCCCCCCTCCACCCGAACAAAAAAAACACATGCAGCAAACGCCAGCTTCTCATGGACTCCCTAGTAGGTCCGCCTCTCGAGGTCGTGGTAGTATTCGTCCTTCTTCTCGTCGGAGCAACGTGCCAGGATGTCTGACAAGCCTCACTTCTCGGGTGGCTAATCTGTATATGGGGTGTCATTGCAGCTTATGGGTTTAGGGTTGAGGGTGTGGCGATTACCTTGTTCTCCCACAAAAGCCGAACGCCACGAAGAGCCCCCGAACGTCAAACGCATGCAGCATCCGAAAAGAAGCTTGGACATCGATCTCGAGTCGTACATTCTGAATCCCGCACCCAAACAATTCCTTCCTAAACCCAACTGCCGGGACCCTAAGCCCTAAACCCAATGCAATGTGCCAAGCTGCGCGTCTCCGCGATGCGGTCGAGCTTGAACTTCTCCTTGAGGTGCTGCATCCTGGCAGATACTAGTCGTATTACATATTAGTACTATACTAATGCTACTAGATATTCGCATTATCTAGTACTACTAAATATTAGTATCATCGTTAATGATGGTAATAACAGTCAAACACAACCGGAAGTACCCGGACCGTCCAAGATGGCTTAATCAAGACATATACCCTAAAGCAGACAGGGTATCAGACACTAATTTTAGGTCTATTCCTTAATTAAGGGCTATTGGAAAGTCTGGGTACTGCCGCTTACGGTCGGGAACTTTGGGATTAGGATGGGGTCCACAAAAGAATTCTCTACGGGCCCTAGGGGTACCGCTATATGGGCTTTGCAACCCCATACGAAAGCCTGGTAGAACCTGTCGTAAAACCTTTTAGAAAACTTTGTAAAACCCCTACCAGAGGCATTTATAGAACTCCTGGAATTTCCGGTGTTTAAGAACTCTAAACCCTAAACCCTAAACCCCTAAAACCCTAACCCCTAAACCCCTAAACCCCTAAACCCCTAAAACCCTAACCCCAAAACCCCCCAAAACCCTAAACCCAAGGACTTCGTGAGTGTTCGGGGCCGAGGCCCTTGGACTCTCGCGTTGCAAGCCTTGGGTAGGACCCACACCCAAGCGAGGGACTAGGCAGGGTGTTCAGGGTTTACGGTTTAGGGTTTGGGGTTTAGGGTTTGGGGTTCAGGGTTCAGGGTTTAGGGCTTCGAGTGGCTAGGCAGGGTAGCAAGAGAGAAACTCCGTTAAACCATTCATTTTTTCGGATTTAAATTCTTATTTTAGAGTCGAGGTTTTGGGGGGCCTTTTGGATTTGTGGTGTTTGGGGCTTGGAGCTTCGGCTTTGATGTCTAGCGCCTTCAGGTTCAGGGCTATGGGCCCCAGAAATCTGAGCTGAAAATCCCGAAGGCCCCGAAGCGGGCTCGGCTCTCACAAAGGGAGCCTCTTGTCGCGGTTGATCGCCACAAAAGTTCCATCTTCCATCTCTTTCCTTAAGGGAAAGTCCAGGGTGGGCTCTCAGGTCTCAGCTCGCATGGGCCCCTAAAACTCTAAGCCCTGAAGCCCTTACAGCCTAGACTCTCAAAACCTAAAGTCTAAACTTAGGGTTTAGGGTTCAGGGTTGCTTTCAAACCCTAAGCCAGGACCGAGGGTTGAGTTTCGGGCCGCTGGGGAAGATCTGAAGCAAGTGAACTTGTTTCTCTGACGGGCGAACCCAATCCCCCTTAATTAAGGAATATACCTTAAATCATACTATAAAGACCCCTATAGTTTAAGGTACATTCCTTGATTAAGGTGTATTGGGTTCTCTGGGTGACGGGGACAAAAATTGCTCCAAGCCGCATCTTCACGACGAGCATACCGCACGGAGATCGAGCCTCTTCCATGATCTCTTTCAACTTCTTCCTTGGGAGCTCCGTAGACTGGATAGTTGCCCAAAGAAACGAGAGTGATAGCTCTTGCGCTTGAAAAGCTTGGTTCGAAGCCGTCGAACAGCTTCAAGCTCGAGAGCCCAAAACCCCCGAGAATTAAAAATAAGAGAAGCCCTTGTGCCAAAGAGATGATGGAAAGTTGAAAGCTCAGCCGAAACCTCGGGCCCTCAGTTCGGAGACGGCAAAACAGAGCGCTTCCACCCTCACCGCACCCGAAGCCTCCAAACTCTAGCCCAGAAGACGCCCCAAAAAGCGTGTCTTACTTTGAGAAGCAAAGTCTAGGAAGCATCCATGAGCACGCATCCCGTGCGAGCCGAGTGGTTTGGGGCAAGGAAACTAACCGCTACGGGGATGAGGCTGTAGGGTTGAGGCGCTTAGGGATTTCTGTGTGTTCTCCAAGTCTCCTTCAATCTGACGGACCCCAAGCTACAACAACTTCTCGAACCCTGGTGCTCATACCCTGCTTCTGCCCTACTCCCACATGCTTGGGCTAGTATAGATGTCTGCATAGCTAGTCAGCTAGTACCAAAGTATCATCCATATAGATGTGTACTATAAGGGGTAGAAACAATTCGAAATATCCGGGTATTGTTGCTATGATCTTAGACTATAATTTTGCCCCAAGACTCTCATGTCACTTGTTACGGCAGTGTGCAGGGCAGGCGGGCTGACTTGCAACAGATTCTTGTTTAGCAAAAGCTGCTCCGAAAAAATCGGATTTCTTGTAGACATGTCGAGGCAATAAGTGTGCAGAGCTCCTCAACTGTATTCATTGATAGATACATTGAATAACAAGTATCCGCAGTGCTTGTTTATACAAATAATGAAATCACCTGTATTCAGAGCTCCTGTTTTTATTTCTAGAGTTACAGAAATCTTGAAACTACAACCCTAAACCCTTTGCAACAGGCTTTCAACCCTAAACCCTAAACCCTAAACCCTATACGTCCCCAGAGCTCCACAGGAGATCAAACCCACTTTTCTAAGGCTTTGCCAAGGCACAAGTCCTCCACCCAGGTGTCATGTCTGCCGTTTGAGGGCTTTAGGGGTTTAGAGGGGTTTAGGGGTTAGGGTTTAGGGTTTAGGGTGCTTAGGGTTTAGGGTTTAGGGCTTAGGTTGTTCAGGGTTTAGGGTGTTGAGGGTTTAGGGTTTAGGGTTTAGGGTGTTTAGGGTGTTTAGGGTGTTTATAGGGTTTAGGGTTCAGGCTCCAGGCGTGAGAGACTCCATGTCGGGAGGGTCCGGGTTTAGGCTTTTTGGGGGCTCGGGGTTTTAAGGAAACTTTAGGGTTGAGGGCTTAGCGGTGCAGGGACAGCCGGTTCTATACTCACAAGGCTCGAAACCTCATTTTACGCAGCCCGGACGTCGGTATGAGTGAGTTTGGGTCAAGGGGTCTTGACACCATTGCACTGCCTGCATTTGTGATGCTTGCCGGCTTCCGGGATCTTCGTCATTCCGTTGCTTCTTCTGGTAGGGTTTAGGGCTTTAGGGCTTTAGGGCGTTCTGACCGTGATGATTATCATCAGTTAATCAGCAAGACTTGCAACATCATTCCCCTTCCCTAACAACCAGAACTAGCACCACGCACGAGCATATATACATCGCTCGAAGTTTGTCGGTGTCTGCGCTGCCAGAGCTGAGAATATACTATAGGGGCCTTAATATTTAGAATAGGGTTTTGGGGCCCATTGTAGTATAACTATAATAAGGAACCCCAAAAAAAACCTTTTCGAATTCCTTAGGCGCCTACATATACCTGCCTGTCTTTCATGAGCTCGTTCAACTTTTCGATGTGGCGCGTCTCGATGTAAAACTCGTCACAGAGCTCCTGGATGTCCTCGGTTAGCGGGCATCCTTCAGAAACTCAAAGGAGAGAACAGGCAAGACTGATAAGACGAGTACAAACCCTAAACCCTAAACCCTAAACCCTAAACAAACCCTAAACCCTAACAGCATCCAACTGCTGCGACCTTCAAATCAATTGAAGCCATGAAGGGCAGATGCCCTGAACCCTAAACCTTGAACCTCCCTGCACACTAGAGTTTTAGGGTTTAGGGGTTTAGGGTTTTAAGGTTTAGGGTTTAGGGTTTAGGACTAACCTTACACCCTCCACCCGGAAGTCCACAACCTAACCCTTGGTAGCCTCAAGCCCACCTGCTGGGTTCCTGCTTCGGAAATTCAATCACAGAGTTGCCATAATAAGGAAACTACAGTATGCAGTGTAGATCCCTATGATGGTAACTTAATGCACTGTAGATCCCCAGTATGGTAACTTAATGTAAACTCCTGAACAAGAACCCAGTAAGCCCACTTGACGGAGGAAGCGGCGGGATGGATCCGGCCGTGCTCTGAGACGTAGACATCGGTCTCTTCGCCCCTCTTTGGCCTGTCTCTGCTTTTTGGGGGGGCAAGATTCCAAGACCCTTTAAAGGGGACCCTATTACAGCTTTACAGGACCCTAAACCCTAAACTAAACCCGAAACCCCAGTATAGCTTAAGGACCCTGTGCAGGAACCCTCAAAGGAGCCCTGAAGGGCCTTCGATGACGGAGTCTTTGGCAGCGGACTCTGGGTTCTGCTTCGAGCTTCCTAAACCCTAAACCCTCTCTCTGTCTCTCTCTTCTTCGCCAGGGCTTGAGAGGCTGTTTAGGCCCCCCGGCCACTAGGGCCCCCCATGTTGTTATGGGGCTTTCCCTCTCTCTCACGGGTGCTCGAAGCGTCAGACCTGTTGATCGGAAACCGAGTTTCACGGCCCCAACCACTAGACCCTAAACCCTAATTCCTAAGCCTTAACCCATGGTTGAAGAGCGGAAAAGCTTCTGCTTTCGAACTCTCGCAGTTTTCGGGTTCAGGGTTCCCAGAGAGCCCCGCTGCAAAGGAAAGACGTCATCCGCAACGTAGGGCCCCCCAACAAGGCCTGAAGACCCCCCGCAGCCTCCAAAAAGCCCCAAAGCGAAACTTCCTAGGGTTTTGGGTTTTGGGTTTCAATTCCTCAGTCCTAAACGCACCAAAACATAGACCCTGAACAGTCACCCCAAGATAGACATGAGTCTTACATAGCCACCCCAATGCCTTCGACCCTGAACCCTAAGCCCTAAACCCCAATACAGACCCTAAACTTCCCTAAATCGTCCCCTAAACCCTAAACCCAAAAATTCCCGAAATTCCCTAAGTCGTCCCCTAAACCCTCAACCCTAAATTCCTTCTAAGTCGTCCCTCCAGCCTGCCACACTTCGGGCAAGTGAACTTCGAGGCGAAACAATTCTGACCTTTGCAAGGCTTACTTGGAGGTTCATGGGTAGTTATAAGTGGGGTTATAAGTAGGGTAGCTACACTTATGACCCATATTTGGGGACTTATATCCCCACCCATGAACCTCCAAGTAGGGCGTAGGCTTTAGGGTGTAGGGTTTGGGGTTGGTTTAGTATTTAGGGCTTAGGGTTTGGGGTGTAGGGTTTGGGGGTGGATTAGTATGTAGGGTTTAGGGCTTAGGATTTAGGGCATAGGGTTTGGGGTTGGTTTAGGGTTTAGGGTTTGGGGTTTAGGTTTAGGTTGGAGGTTGTTGCTGTAGAGCTCTCAGGTTTACGGGGTTGCCCTAGGGTCTCGCGGTTTAGGTTGCAGGTTCTGCTACCGAGGACGTCACCTCTGAAGAGCTTTGGCCTTCCTTCGAAAAATCCTGAGCCCAGTTCGACGTACGTGGGACCCTAAACCTGGTTCCCTGTTTGGGCCATATTAAAAGTGATCAGTTTTAATCCTTATTAGGGCTTTTGCTATAACAACAATGTAAAATTGTATCCAACAAGGACCCAGAAACCCTAAACCCTAAACCCCTAAACCCTAAACCCCCTAAACCCTCAACCCTAAACCCTAAACCGTTTCAGAAGATAGGAGAGACGCTACAAGCCTAAAACAAAAGACTCCTTATTGCAAGGACCCCAATCCCCAGATCTTACGCTTTAAAAATCCTATACACCTTAAACCTCGAAGCCGTAAAGCAGAAGCCAGAAAGTTGGAACTATCGCTCTCCTCATGCCCTTAAGGTACTGTGTAGGGAATCCTAGCACGAATCATCCCTCATCCATGTTCCAACTTTCTTGGCGTCACTATAACTCAACCCCTAGTCCCGAGAATCCCTCAAATCCTGAACCCTAAACCCACTCCCTATACCCTAGACCCTAAACCCTAAACCCTAAAAGCCCTACACCCTAAGCCCTACACCCTAAACCCTAAAGGCCCTAAACCCTTTTCACTAAACCGTACACCCTAAAGGCCCTAAACCCTAAACCCAAACCGCCCCCCTCCCCCCCCCTTGGGCCGCCGGCCACAGGCTGGGCAAATCCAATCCCCGGGCTTCAGCCCGGGCAGCGGCTTCGCATCCGGAGGGCATGCCGCACCGGGCCACTGACCTTTGCCTTTTAGGGGAGTTTGGCGCCTTTTTTTTTGGGGGGGGCTATTTGTGCCCCCCTTTTTGGGGTTTAGGCGATTATGAGGCTTTTGGGGTTTAGGATTTAAGGTTTAGGGTTTAGGCTATTAGGCTTTTGGGGTTCAGGGTTTCAGGGTTTAGGTGGCTTCTGGGGATTTCTGGGGTTCTGGGGGGCCTATTTCTGGTGTCGGTGTCAGGGTGGTTTGGGGCTTGGGGTGTCGGGCCTTAGAGCCTTGATGTTGACACGACTGGGCTTGCTTTTCAGAGGTTCTTGGTAAGGAACCTATCTCATAAAGGCCTTGCACAGGGTATGTATGGGCTCCGTTTTGGGGAACTTAGCTTGTGAAGGTCTTGCATTCTACCAGGCGTCGTTGTAAGGGCTCCTGTTTAGGAGCCTAGGAACCTAGCTTAAGTTGCCCTATTTCTGAGGGACGCAAAGTGAATACTATGCGTTCCTCAAACCCTAAACCCTAAACCCCAAACCCTAACATGGTAGCAATGCAAAGCCTGCTGCCATATGGCCGTCAATGCAAACGTGAAGGGCTAGCTTCCATTGTCAACTTGTACTCGCACGCAGACGTTCATATGCTCACTAAGAGCCTAGGGCCTAAGACCATGTTTCAAAGCAAATCTAATACAATATGTGTATATGTTTGTGTATATATATATATACATACATATGTGTATGTATATATATATATATGTATGACTATCCGTGACTCTATACACATATATGTGGACTATTGTCGGTCATTAGCGATCTCTGTACAAGAACGGTTTGTAGCGTTGCTTATCCTAGCATGACAGACCGAGCTCCTACGCGGAAAGACAAGGTTCACCCTAAACCCCTGTACCCTAAACCCCTACACCGCCCTGTACCCCTAAGCCCCTAAACCCCTAAAGCCCTAACCTCCTAAACCCTAAACCCCTAAACCCCTAAAGCCCTAAACCCTAAACCCCCTCAACCCCTAAACCCTAAAACCCTAAACCCCTACACCCCTGAACCCCTAAACGCCCTAAACCTGCCCCTGACCCACAACCCCGGAAGCCTAGACCCGGAGCCTGGAATTCTGAACTCCAAGAGCTGAAAGGCATTGGGGGGCCCAGTAGCTACACTGTCTCTATAATTTAAGAGCCCTACTAGGGAATAACATTGGACATGAATTGAGGCTTCCAGAAAACCCCTGAAAGCTGCCAAAAAAAATAGAAAAAAATGACTCAAGCACTCCAAACCCTAAATCCTTTGCTCCAAACCGCGCACCCTGTCTCGTTTCCTTTCTCGTAAACCCCAAACAACAAACCCCAAACAGCCCTGAACACGACCATAACCCCCAAAGTGCCGCTCAAGAGGCCGCCTTTCCCATCGGCCTTGCCGCCGGCTTTTGGTGGAACAACATTGCCACCGCCTGGTGTGGGTTTTAGGGTTTCGGCTCTCACACTCGCACCAGGCAGGCAAGGCTCCGGGGTTTAGGTTTTAGGGTTTAGGGTTTTTTTTGCCACCCGCTTCGCGGACTAGGTCGCATGTCAAGGTTTTCAGCACTCACACTCGGACACGCCTGGGCGAGGTTCCTGGTACGACGACAACGCGCATTGGCGAACATCAGCACTTTAGCCGATCAGCTTTTAGGGTTTAGGAGGGCTTAGGGAGGTTCAGGACCTAGGGTTTTATGGAGCTTGGGCTATAAGTTGTTTTAAGATCTTGCACCGCCGACTTCGGAAGTATGGCTGAGATGTGTTTGCATTGAGGGCATATGTCTGCACGATGCTAAGCGAATCTACCGGTAATTGCGGCTTGGGGAGTTTGGAAACTGGGCATTACTTACTCGGCAACGCGGGGCTCATCATCACGCCACCATCCTATCGCTAGCATCGACTAGTCGGAAAAGCATGACTGCAATGCCGCTGCCACCGTGGCCGCGGCTGCTGCAACTACTGCTTCAACTCCGACCTCCTACTGCTGCAGCTGCTGCTGCTGCTGTTCCCGCTCCTCCTACAACCACCACAACCACCACCACCACCACAACCACCACCACCACCACGACCACCACCACCACCACCACTCCCACTGCCGCTGCCACTACCACTACCGCTGCCGTCACCACAGCCACCGCCACAACCACAGCCATTCTTACGACGACGACCGAACCTTCTCTGAGTCTCTATGCCAGTGTGAGAAAACTTGTCCAGCCACCTTTCGCCTCCTGTTTCCCTGGCCCCGCCCGCAATCTGAAGCCAACCTTCCATAGTCGACGCGTAGACTTCGCATGATCTGAAAAGCACGCGGAGTTCTGCAAGGAGCCCGGAAGGGTGGACTAAAAGGCGACCTTACATAGGCTTTCCGGAACGTCCTCAGATCCGGACCCCCAGAAAACTACCTTGACAGGCCTGAGGTTGGAATTTTTGGGCTTTTGGCTGTTGGGCTTTGAAGCACTGTGCCTTTACCACGAAGGGTCTAGGATTCTTGTAAGGTAGAATAACCCTCAGCCCCTAACCGATGGCCCCAAAGATCACCTACTTACTCAGCAGGCATGGCCTTGAGGCATCATGCCGTTCATCATCATCGGATTCCTGAGAATTGTTGTGTCCAGCTTTGCAGGGCCCGTCGTGAAAAGCGTCCACTTCTAGCCCTAAACCTTGAAAGGAGTCCACAGAGCATTACGGGCTGCCTGAGACTTGGTGAGGACATGATGTCGGGTTCTCGCCACAGGCTCATGTGGTCTTCAAAACCGACCCGAGGAGTGCTCATGCAAAGCCACTGTGCATACCATGAGTCTCCAAGTTCTGAAGCATTTGGGGCTAGGATGGGTTGTTCTGGACTGTTGCAAGACGGGGAAAGCGACCGAGAGAGAGAGAGAGAGAGAGAGAGAGAGAGACTGAGAGGGACAGAGAGAGTCGGAGTTTGAGCGTTTGCCCTTTGGGTTTAGGGTGCTATAGATGCCTCTGATCAGTATCTTGGTCTGGTACTCCTATCTTGGCTCTTGCTAGAGTTGTTGCTACCGGTCCTTCAGTTCCCATCACAAAGCCCTAAACCCTAAACCCTAACCCCTAGACCAAACCCTATACCCTAAACCCTAAACCCTATACCCTAAACCCGAAACTTTTAGGGGCTGCGCCCTTGTGCGCCAGCGCAGCATTTCGTGGTTTTCAATATCGGAAGCAACGTTAATAAAAACTCAAGTCGATTTACTAAAACCTCTAATCAACCAGCACCAGCG